TCCAGTAAGAGTCATCGCTCTCACTTACCGGGTAAGACTCTTGGTTCTTGTCATATTCATCATGTAAAGTAATGTGAGTCGGTAGACAGTTATACCAGTAAGCGTTTGGTAAATGATTTTATAGTCTAAAATTAGTAAAAATGAGATGAAGATACCGAAAAGATTGAATGAGAGAAGTCGTACGAAATGAAATATTGTATTTTTGGAATGGATTGATTGATGTCGGGAATAAATAGGAAAATAGAAGTTATGATGTTATATGGGCCTCAAACATCAGTTTGTCAGTCTCAATTATTTCATATATAATTATCCGTCAAACTATATAAATACTCCCATATATATATATATATATATATATATATATATATATATATATAGTTTGTTTCAAATACAACCCGTCGCATTTATACAACCAATGCAACCCAATAAATTGAGATATTTATGAAAATGACGAGAGTTCATTTATTATGATTTGAATAGCTATAGAAGATGAATATGGTTCATTAATTATGATCAATATTTTATATTAGGAAACAATCAAAACTTCTATGAAATCACATATTAATCAAATGAAATGAACAGTTGAAATTGGGTTGTATTGGTTGCACAAATGTCAAAGGTTGTATAATAACCAACCTCTCTCTCTCTCTCTCTATATATATATATATATATATATGAGCGATCAAATGCAAACCACTCAATTTGTACAAAATGTGCAAACCTTATTCAACCAATCATATTTTTTTTGTTCATTTTTTTTTTGTAATTATAAGAGGTTGATTAATCATTTTTATTGTGTAGGGTGTTAATTATGGATATTATCATCTTCATTATTTTAATTTTAGAGAAATACATGAAACGGTTTCATTAAAATTTCATTAATTATTATATAAAACAATTTCGTAAAGTATTATATGAAACAATTTCATAATCATATATGAAACAACTTCATAAAAAAGTAATTATATGAAACAATTTCACGAAAAAATTTCATAAGATTAAACAATAAAATCGACGGATGAAGGTGATTTGCACGCTTTGTACAAATTGGCTTATTTGCATTTGATCGCTCCTATAGATATATATATATATATATATATATATATATATACATACACTAGAATGATACTCGCGTAATGAAGCGAAATACATCTCGATTTTAGTGTTTCATTTTATTATTTATCTTCGTCGATATAATACGGTTTTTATTGGTTTTGAGAAAATGATAATGTTTTTATTTTTTAATAAAATATAAATTTAAAGATATCATAAAAAATTTAGAAAATATATAGATATATATCAATAATAGTATCAAATTCACTATTTAAAGTTTTCGTTTTTTATGAAATGTTTATCCCGTATTTGATTATGTTTATCTATAGTTAGTTACACAAATTTAAAAATGAAGCTTTAATAATTTGTACTTACGCACAATTTACTTGTGATATTGAATTTTAAGTAATATGCATCAATAAGCAGTATTTTATGCATAAAAATGGTTTTTAATTGAGTACCAGCAATCCCAACCGATCACATACGGAACCAGACTCCAAGAACACTCAGCTGCAGAAACAAGCAAGGGGCTTGAGATAGAACTTGTGCAGTCGTCTCATCTAGGAAAGTTTTAAAAGTACAAAAATGTTAAAAGTATATTTGGATATTTAAATGGTTAAAATTTTACATCTTATGTATCAAAATGAAAATTTTAAAAATACGTTACCTGAAATAAAAATCAAATTAAAGTACATTACTTTTTCATTTAATTTGTACTAAAAATGATATGGTTTTCAAACTTAGAAGGAAATAAATACTCAGAATGTTTGATGATTAGTTTGAAGTTATGACATTGAATTTGTCATGCAAGAATGTGAAAGTGTGATACTGTCATGGACAACTCACAACATCATTGCAATTGTTTTTTGTGACAGAATTTTTTAAATAAATTTAACATTATTAAATGCAATCATGTTAATATATATTATTGGCTGTCATTATGTAAATATTCAACATGTGACATACATATATACATACATACACATATACATACATATATATATATATATACACACACTATAGTAGTGGTCCTGGTTTGGTCTGGTCAGTTTTGTCGAACGGAATTGTAAGGGTAGACAACTTATAGGAATAGCTGATAAGAGGGAAGGTTTCTTTTAACCTAGTTAACAAAATTCGTTTTTAACCATTTACTTTATTGAAGTCGTCAAGTCGTCATTGTAGGGGTAGACAAGTGATAGGAATAATGAGTGAGGGGCTGTTTGGCAGTTGCTGAATGGTTTGATGCAGAATGATTAAGAGACTCTCATGATATAGTGCAAAATAAAATATAATTGTTTGGCAATTGTTTACAATGAAATTAGGGCGCTTAATGGTTAAGGGAGACCCATATTACAAAATCATTCAGATAGTTTTAGGACCATTAAGAGACAAACCTTTTTTTGCCAAACAAGATTCACATCTTAACGATTCAAATGTTATCTCTTAATGGAACTATTAAGAGATAAATAAACAACCCCTGAGAAAATCATTGGATTAGTTTTCATGGTTTGTAGTGTTTATTTCTTTACGACGATGCTTTGTAATAGACTAATAATTACTTTTTTATAGTTGAACTGATAAAATTTTAAAAAAAATTAGACACCGGATACCCAGTACCGGAACCAGAACGGTTCTAGGACCGATTCCAGTCCTTTCATTTTAATGGGGAGGAGAGTAGTCGGGACTTGCAAATGGAAGTTTTAAAATATGTACAGTAAGCTTGATAGGTAGTACCTTTTGAAAATTTCAAGATAACGGTAAGTGCCCTTTTATAAGAAGTATAGATAAATAAGGGTGTAAAATGAAAAATGAAACAGTAATGAATATAAAAGAAATTAAGTAAATAACAATAAATATAAGTCTTAAAATTAATTTATTACAAATTTATAATATTTAATAATATGATTAGATCAAAAACTATCCAATATAAGGTATTGATGAGATGATTATAATGGTATAATTTGTTATAAAGAAAAGAAACATATTTTTAGAGTAAATTGCACTGTTGGCCCTGTGGTTAGCTCAGAATGGATATAAGGTATGAAATCTATCTTGTAAGTCATGTTCTCCCCCGACTTCGAAAACCTCAGGACATCGGAGAAATTGAAGCTTCAGATAAAAAAGTATTTCCTGTTTTAAATAAGAAACAGTCGGGCCTTAATCGATTTAGGTAACCGTCCTGTAAACAAATATACCGTCGGACTAGTGTATATATATATATATATGTATATGTATGTATATATGTTTATGTAGACTTGGGATCATGTGAGACCAAGGGTTTTTCGTGAGACCCGTAAGACCAATTCTCAATCCTTGGATTAGATTCACAATCTGAACATTCATAAACCTCGCGAGACTTCTCAATAATCACAAAATTGTCACCGTACAATTTAAATCATTAGATCATCAACTTATAAAGTTGATCAATAAACATAAATTGGTCTTACGGGTCTCATAAAAAACATTTGGTTTTACGTGAACCCAACCTTATGTATGTATATATAGAGGAGTTGCAGGTCGTGATAGAAGGGGGAGACCGTTAGCAAGTCAAAGGGGGAGGGGGAAATGAAGGCGACATGTGGTAATTTTTGATTGTGCTCTAAAAAGGTTTTCTAATTAATAAATAAAATGACAAAAATGTCCTTGAGTTAACAAATGGATTTTACGATGTTAGCATCACGTGGACGTCCAGTATATTTATTTTCGAACGAGAGACTCAACTTGAAACTAAATGCAAACCACAAGGATCCCAGTGCATTTATTTTAAAATAAAGACCATATCCAGATTCTGAACTGACTCAATTTGTTAATATAATTATTTAAAAACAAAAAATAAAGAATATAAATTAAATTAAATAATTAATTATAAAAATATAAAGTGTAATTTAAAAAATTAAAAATTATTTTTTTTTAATATTATCTTAGGAGGTGGGAGGTTAGAAGGTTGTATTGCTTTAAATTTGTACATTAAGAATCAAAATTTATACCTCCTAATTTTTAAAAATGATCATTTAACATACTTAATAATATATAACCTCGCCCTATATTATTTATTGATACGATGATATAAAATAGAGTTGTTCATGGACGGGACGACTCGTTAGAACCCGGCCCATCCGATCGTTAGAAATACGGGTTTGGACAACCATTATCAAGAAAATAGACACACCCAGGTTTGTTTGTTAAATTAATGGACGGACATGAACAATATAAAAATATATATGAACAAGCCCGTTTATATTTTATTATTAATATTTTTTTACCATAAATTAGAATTGTATATGGACAGGCCCGTTTATATTTTATGAATTAGAATTGTATATGGACAAGCCCGTTTATATTTTATGATTAGTATCTCTTAAAATTAAACTATTAAAGTTATAGGATGGAACTGTTTGATTATTCTTGAGAACCCAAAAGGCTAAGAGGTTGTTTGGCAATTGCTGAATAATTTGGTGTAAAATGATTAAGATGTTCTCATGATATAATGCAAAATGACATATAATTGTATGATAATTGTATACAATGAAATTAGAGCTCTTAATGGTTAAAGAAGAGTCATGATACAAAATCATTTAGAAGGTTTTAAAAATATTAAGAGGCAGACTTTTTTTTGCCAAACAAAATTCATCTCTTAACAATTCAAAGATTGTCTTTTAATAAAACTACTAAGAGGAAAACAAACAACCCCTAACTTTTTAAAATTAAACTATTAAATATGTTTTTTTTTTGCCTTTCTAACCCAAAAACCCATTGAGGTCTCTTTTTCTTGGTTTACAACAAAACCCAGACACCAACGATACAATATTTAAAATATTATTATAATAACAAAAATACATATACATTAAATATAAATTAATAATACTATAATCAATGCTAAAATCTAAAAATTAACATACTATGAGTTGGAATGTAAAAATTTTACTTTTTTCATTTTTGCCTCTCAACTTTGAAAAAATTATATAAAATCTTTTTTACGAGTATTAAATTTTGTTCTTTTTTTGATAACTGTGGCATATATTTTGACTAATCTCAAAGGCCTTGAAGAACAATCAGGAGTGGTCCAGAAAATGAAAATGAAAAAGAAAGTGGGTAAATGGAAGTAATGTTTAAAGAAAACTGGAAATTGGCCAAAATTGTTTGGTTAGAATTAGAAATCAGAAAACTAAGGGGCATTAAGAGCCTCTAGTTGTCTTTTGAGATCTTCAAGATCATCCACACTTTCTTCTTTCCACTGCTGCTGCTGCTGCTGCTCATACACATCTGCATTTGGAAGCTCATGAACAAGACCTTCTGGGAGTGCATCTGCAAATACCCCTTTAATCAATAAATAAATGCCCATGTTTCTATTTTCATTTCTTTACCAAAATAACTCTTCGATTTCAAAAGTATACGTCTATTATTAAGGGTAAAATTGTCATTTACTACACGTCTGTTTTCCAATTCTACCATTAATTAAGGGATGACTAATTCACTACTCCCTCTATTATTAAGGGTAAAATTGTCATTTAGTTGATTAAAAAGTGTAATAAATTACAAATTTATAAAACTATGCGACTTTTTCATAGTGGACTGTTGTTATGGGATGGATGGCAAACCACTAAAACAAAACCAAGCGAAAATGGATCCGGTATAACCCACACAGACGTAGTGTCTGAGGGAGTAAGATGCAAGGGAGATTGACGAAAATAGCAAATCTCCCGCATCAAATTTACTTTTTAGCCACTTTTGGAACTGAGTTCCCACAATCCCACTTTAGCAGAGTTTAAGTAAATGGCTTGAGCATTTGCGTAGATCCCATTTTCAGGTTAAAAAAAGGAAAAAAAAAATATTTGCGCAAAAAAATGAAATAATAATAATCCGAAAATCGAGTTTACGCAAAATGGGAAATTGATTGATAAAATGGCTAAAAAGCAATTTTTTTTACTTTTTACTCACTCCATTACAACATGTAGCAAAGTCTTATGGTTTGAACTCACCTGAGCTTTGGGTATTTATGACATTAGCATCGCAATCATCAACAACACTGAAAAAAACAAAAAACAAACAAACAAACCCCGTGAATCTCACATAAAATGTAGGTTATGTGCAAACAAGCAATGGCTACAAGTGAATCCATTGAAATATTCAAACTAAACCTTTCGAATATGATGTTAACTAGAAAATTTCCATCGATTAAATAATAAATATCATGGAATGGAAATTGTGAATCATTCAAAGATCTTGGTGTACCTGTTTGTTAGCAGCTTAATGAGCTTAATGGGACTCGCAACTTATTCGGTCAGTTACACATGATTGTTTGGTAGTGGCTTATTAAGTAAAGCTTCTAGGGGTGCAGAAAGCCAAGTTTTTCCAAACCCACCCTTCCCAGTTAAAAGAAACATGCTCATTCCATCTATGAAAAAACCCTCCCAAACAAAAACCTTCCTAATAATATACAGATAGATTAATCCACACAGACAGCTTTATCCATTCAGGACCAAATAAAAAACCAACCAAACAATCCCTAAGTTACCTTATATTCCATTCATTATCTGCATGAATTGGGATTTCTATTGTTGATAGCTCTTCCTCCATCTTTGCTTTAGCAGCTGCATCCCTGGCAGGCTTTATGAGCATGTACTCTTTCTGCAGAATTTATGAATATTTATTTGTTTTTAGCTTTAGAGAGAAACCGGTGGCCTAAATTAAACAGCTTTTATGTATCAAATAGAAAATCGGTGAACAAGGATCCAACATATAGATATATACCTGCCGCTCTAGGCAAGCTCCATTTGAACATTGAGGGTTTGGCTTCATTGCCATTGTTGGGAAGAAATCTTTAAGAGCATTGTAACCCTGATTTTGGCAATGTAAAGAAACATATAAAAACCAAACCAACCGGACCCAGTAAATCTTGCATATGATATTCCAAAATATTAGATATATATACACACACACAAAAGTTGAAAGAAACAAGTGAGCAAGCTACAGATGATGGTGTGCAAACGACATAGGTGAGAGAAATAGGTTTAAAAAACAAAGAAACACAAAGGGTCATTGGTCCAGTGGTATCCGGTAGAAATCTTGCATATGATATTCCAAGATATTAGATATATATATATATATATATATATGCACACACACACATACGCATGAATAGAGGGGAGGGGAGACAGATTTGTGCAATATTTACCAGGTATGGTGAGACATTTCCGAATTTCAGCAAGAACTTCAGTGTGTTCTGGACTAAAAGCCCAGCAACAACCCCCTACAAAATAATTCGAAATGTAAGCTATAAAAAGCCGAATGTAAACAACTTGTTCATCTACAATCACCATCAAGCATACTTGTGTATATTTATAAAGCAGCCATGTTTTTTGTAACCGTGGGTGTCGGGGCCTAGTTTGCAAGCACCTCAACTAGTACAATGAGGGCACTGAAGACAACAGCTAGGAAAATCCCCAATGGCCCAAGACTCAAATTGATGACCTATGGGGAGGAGCCCCCTGGGGTAACCATTATTTGTCAGTTGATTTGGACATCAATTTTGAGTTTAATGGTGCTTGAGTTTAAAAGGTAAAAGGATTAATAATATGAAGTATGGTAACTATGGAAAACAGACAGACTAAAGAAATCCAGCATCTAATGGGGTAAAAAAGTGTTGCTGACCATAGTAGTAGGCAAAGATGCAGCACAAACTCCTTCACGCTTAAGTGTACGTTCATCCACCCCAGATGCTACAACCTAAAGAAGAGGATAACCACATTATACGAAACTGATATTAGAAAGAAAACAACATACCATTTTGAGAGAGTTAAATAAGCACTATCTCGTTGAAAAGCTCTATACATCTGCCCTTTCTCAATGCATTTCTTTAAACAAAGACTCCAATCTCCCTTTTTCAGATGGTAAATATTTCTTAGAACACGGAGTGTGAAGCAAACCCATGTTTGAATTGAAATCAAGATCCTGATATGATTGTCATAGTGAAATTATATTATATGCAATAGTGTATAGAAAATATTTTTTTTATTTTTGCATAACTTTTATTTACAAGAAACTGATATAGATCCCGATAGATATTGGTTCACACGGGTCTACAAGCCATGTTATACTACTGAATAACAAGCCTTTGGTCTTCGCTTTCAAAAATTTGTGCGCTTGGGGACATCTCAAATACTAGCAACATAGAAGCACCCTAAACTTTTTTGGGGATACATTAAATAAAATAAAAAAACAGTGAAATCAAACTTCAAGAGATAGAGGCAGAAGAATAATGAATACAATATTCTAAAAAGTTGGTGTCTTAGACAATACCAACACTATCAAAATCTTGTGAAAGACATTACTTACATATAGCCAAACAAAGCTGAAGATCAAATGTTCAATGAGATCAAGAAAGAGAAAAAATTTGAGCACATAAAGAAGTTTATTTCATTATACTTACCAAAGGAGGTGCACAAGCAAAACAGGCAGTTTCTCCAGGAATCAGTAACTGTATATGACCCGAAACAGCGTCCTCAGACACACCTGCCGAAAAACAAACCAAACCCTTGAAAAGCAGAAACTGAAGAACAAGAAATAGCCCCTCATGAGAAATATCAGTATAACATTAGTAGATAATTTGACATACAGGTATTTCTAGAACATTTCATTGTCGTATCTCTTGGTGGTGCCACTGAGCAGACAAAAATACTAAATTTTATCGCAGTCTATCATTGGTTACCCAATTTAACAACATATACTTTCTCTGGCCTATCTTAGGAATCCATCTTAGATATGAGCCTACAAGTCGGCGATACGGTTATTTAATGCAATTGGAAAGCCATGGTTTTCAGGTCCAAGTTCCTTCTTCTTGACTTGTTTGTAACACATGTTAGTACCTTTAGCTTCTTTCTGATTTTCCAATATTTCATGTGGACTCCTTGTCAGCCTCGGCATAATCCTTTTTGTATTCAAAATATTTATTTTTTAAGTTGAATTAATAGAGAGGAAGTTATATAGGTATGTTACCGCCAGTTCGCTCTAGTGTAACCTATTGTCCAACAAGCAGAATGGCAACTAACAATCAAGGGCAAATCATGATAACTCTCTCAGAAAGAGCTCTTCATGGTAGACAAGGATCATAAATCAAGTTGAAAAGGAAGTAGCAGCAAAAATTGATGTCAGAGGAAATGCTACTCGTCTTAGTCCTGAATTTAATTTGTGCACAAACATCACTACATGTGGGTTCACCAATGATGGTGGTTTTTCTCATATAACGAGGCAAACCAAAGACAGAATTTCAACATAGTATGAAAGCCTCTTTTTCTGGGAAGGCTTGCAATGATGGTGGCCTTTAGGGAAGTTTCATTCAACAAAGAACCGGGATCATTTATTTACCTGACTCCATCCAAGTTTGATTCAGTTCATTGCAAGCCTGTAAAAACAAAACTAGATTAGCCACAAAACCTAACATACTATATGCATAACTCAAGAAAATTCTTCCCCCACTTATGAAGTGTGACCCTCATTAAGAAGGAAGATATAAATTAACTATCTAAAGAAAGACACAAAAATAATTAGCAGGATAATTAGGGCAAAGGTTTAGCAAATCTGAAAATAATAGCAACGTTCTAACCTGATTTACAACCATCCTTGCTTCGTAATTATCTACGCAGCTCAAAACAAGATCAACCCCAGTGCCTTCTTTCTCTTGGCGAAAAGATTTGTTTTCAAGACTTGCAACGAAAGTTTCAAAACCTTGCACTGTTGTTATGTTCAGAGTAAAGCTCTGACATTTGTAAAGAAATTAGATAGTGAAGAAATCAACAACAAAAATATAAATATACATGGCAATCTTAATTATGTCCCAAATCATCATATGCTTCTATTTGTCTGGACAGTAACAACCTTCAAAAAATCACATCCAGCAATCTAAAAATCCCCACTTAAGCGACTGCCTAGGCATTAAGAGTCCATACTGCTTTAATAAGTTAGGGTTGCTTGATTAGTTGTCTGGGTGTTAAGCATACTCAAAGCAACTAATTCTTAAATTGAGTATTTTCAATCACTAACAACATGTGTTTCATCAATCAATCTTCCTTAACCTGGGGATAATCTTTCCAATCATTTCTGAGTAATTGTATAAACGGACAATGAAATTGGTCATTTAAAAAATAGCTGTAATCAAAATAATACAGTATTAGAATTTTTATCATCGTGTCTATTTAATCTAAATATAATTATATTTTATATACTACGAGTCCACTTTGGCTAACACTAAATTCCCACTAAGCAAGTACTTAAAGTTAGCGTGACTGTCGAGCTCTACTTAGTGTTTCTTGGAATGCTGATCACATGTAGCAATCCATGAGGACGGATATTGGGCTTTAAGATATAAGGAGTTAAAATGAAAAGAACGTTCCTTTAGTCGCCATTATGACAAAGAAGGCCAACTTTCAAGGTATTTCAGCATGTGTTCAGAAACAATGCAGTTAATTCTCACCTCTACCACTTTTGATTTATACATTGCAATAACGTTAGCTATATGAACTATAAAGAATTGAAGACAATACCATGGTGAAGTGGATACCATGACACATTTACAATATGAGTGGTCAATATGCAGCAATAGTTTTGTTCAAATATTACCTCAAGAACTACATCAGGATTTATTTCTGATAAAGTTTGGACAGCAGCATCAGTCTTAGTCATACCGACCTGAGAAATATAAAATCAACGTTAGCACATCAACATGCCTAACAACAATTTGTTCTCAACAGCTTATGTGTCCTAAAATTTAATAAAAAAAATAATCAATGAATTAATTCATAGCAGTTGATATCTACCAGAAACAAGTAGTCAAGATCTATGTATCAACTCCTTGTATTGACAACTAATTTTTCTTGTCACCCAGTTTAACATGGGAAGCAGATTAACAGTGCAATCAACTTTGCAAGTGAGAAAAGCGTTGGTCAACAAATAAAGTTACTTACACTAATAGTTTCAGTTGTTGTGTTTATCTGAAGGGGGTCTAAACAAATAATCAAACAATATTTATGCATAAGAGCAGAATCAGAAATGGAGCTAAACTGAAAGAAAAGCACCAGAAGCATACAAAGGTACTTTACATTCCTAAGAAGATATAATGAAAAATGACAATTATTTCAACCACACCTGCTCAGGACGGAAAAATAACCTATTCATGTTGGCCAACTCCACTGTATCATAATCATACAACAAAAGACGGCCTATGCCACATCTCGTAAGCATTTCAGCAGCAACACTCCCCACCCCACCAATACCCTGCAAAATGACAAGGTGACTCTTCCATCAAACTACAAGCAAAACTACAGTCCCAATATACAACCAGAATGTTATACATCTATTGCCTCTGGAAGGCTTCATAGGAGAAAAGGAATTAGTGCAGTTTGACTTGTGAAAAAAGTATATCCATCAGTATACAGTATTGAACACATTTTGAGAATTTACATAATACAATGGAGAAGTACATGATGGTTATTGCAAAAAAAATGTGAGACTAAGAATATAAGGAAAAATTAATAGCTAATTGCATAAATTTCATTTTTTTTCTGATTGCATATGTCAACAAACAAAAATAAGTTTACTTGGCACATACTTAGATTATCACAACTACATTAATTATAACATTTTTCATCCAATTGTCATCCAAATTAAATTCAAAACTAAGGAGCTTTTTGAATTAAAAAATAGGTCCTTGCTCAAAATCTAAACCTTAGACCATCAACGATATAATTGATATGATTGTGAAAGTTCAAGTAAGTAAAATAGGTCCTTGCTCTTAAACCTTAGACCATCAACGATATAATTGATATGATTGTGAAAGTTCAAGTAAGTGGATATCACTTTTTATTGGGGTATGCAATAGGAAAAAGCAAAATGTTCCAGTCATTATTTATCTATCTTGCAATTTCATATAGCTACAAAACAAAGAGTGTGATGTCAAGGATTATAAAATCATGCAACAAAACATAAGCCTCAAAGAAGTAATCCATTCACTGAAGCATGTGCATAGTGTGATTGCGATAAATTTGGTGGAAATAAAGACAGGTAAAAAAACTGAAAAGATGGGTTCAGTACAGACAACTATGGCAACTGAGAAATCCCGAATTCTTTCATAATTCTCCACAATACCCATCCTCTGCAGCGCCATGAGCCTACTATAAGGGTTGCTATCTACAACCTCTGCACTCATATCCTGACATCAAATAAACAGTATCATTAAAGTACTGGTAAGAAACAATCACTTGACTTTAAAGAAGTTAATTGCAGCGGATATAGATATAGGCAAAACCTTGACTTTAGTACGGCGAGTTGGTCCAGCCATTGCAAGACTGGTGAGATTTTCTACACGCAATCGAATCTGCCAACACAAAGGTCATAACTAATTAAACCAAAAAATTGTGTACCAAAAACAAAAATATTTTCCTTCGTAGAAATTTTTTCTTAATTAATGCCAAAAATTGCCTTAAAATTCAGTTATGAAACTCTAGCAGTATATCTTGGTATGCATATGCATTTCACAAAAGTCAAGTTCAGTCCATTCATTTGTTGGTAAACAATCTGTTCCTGCTAAAGTTAACTGGTATAAATAAATGTTGAAAACTATAATAATTTATTAACTAATTATGTTAAATGATAAGCTAAAAGCACATTCGCCAAAGTGCAATTTCAACTGCAAGTAATCAGATAGGCTTCAGGGGGGCACAAGTCCTATCTAGCAACAATACCTAGTTCTCGTTCTTGCTTCCTCAATTGATCTCATGGCAGTAGCTTTAGCTTACCAACAAAAAGTTCAAAAGCCCATATAAACCCTAATTTTCTCGAACAACAAAATGAAGGTGGTGACGGATTTATGTTAAGTAATCAAAGAATTTAACAATCGAAACTGCCAATAAGTTCACAGTGCATGTCAAATAATCAGATACTGAAGTAGCACTGTCTACAGTTCAACCAAGCAACATAACTGAATAATTACTAGTTTCCATTTGTTTTTATTCCGATCCAAAAGAACGTTCTTCAGTTGTTTAATGTAAAACGCTAAAATCCTATAAAGAAATTTAGGGTTTTGTAAACGTCGACATTACCCCTTGATCTGCAACATTTTTAACACAAAAACACCACCGGATTGATCGATTTCATCAGAACATCATAAGAAACAAACAGACTACATCCAATTCAATGAAGCGATGAGTTGAATTTTGGAGAAAGTTACTTGATCGATAGAAGCTTGATGAGATGGATCCGGTAATGAAGTCTTAAGATTTTCGAGATCAGTCAACATCCCTTTCAATTCCACCTCCATTGCTGCTACTTCTTTCAATTATCTCTGTGTGGATCGGTTGAGTGTAAAGATCTCTCGGTGAGGAGCAGGAGTCGTCTCGGCACTGCACCTTTTCTACAAACGTGATGTCTGCCTTGCCGTTGCTAATTCCTCTTTCCTTTTGTTCATCCATGTTTCCATTATAAGGGGGGTGTTTGGATGCGGCGAGTGCCATTACAAGTTAAAAAGCTTAAATAATTTCATTGTAATATAAAATATACAAAAACTCAAAACTTCTAAAAATACTACAATCATCAACAACAACTACTCTATTTTAATTTTAATAATATTATAAAATATTTGACAAAAATTCTTAAAATTATTTTTTATACATAAAATACTGTTTATGGATATATATTACTTAAAATTCAAGATTACAAGTAGATTGTGTGTAAATACAGCTTATTATTGTTTCATATTTGAATTCGTGTAACTAACCGTATATAAACATGATAAAATACAATATAAACATCTCATTTTGAATATAAAAATTAGAATAATCATTAAGTTATAATAGAATATTTAATTATTATATTTATGGAAAATTATATTATTAAACCAAATATAGATTACTTTGTTAATAAACTTAAATTAAATTATAATAAAAAAATTGAGTTAAAATTTTACACAAAAAAAATAAATTTTAAATAGTTAATTTGATACTAATACCATATATTTTTGTTAATTTTTATGATATTGTTAAATTTATATTTTATTTACAAATAAAAACATTTATCGTTTTTTCAAAAACACATAGTATCGAGATGTATCTCGTTGCTTTATGCAATTACTCCTCTAGTAATTCTAAAATAAGTGAGTTTCTTGAAAGAGTTTTATGTAGAAAGTCAAGTTATTCTAAACTGGACCAGTCTTAATAGAAGTATAGAACCAGAAGAAAAAGTAACAAACGAAAATTGGACTTAGAAAGTAACAAACATTCAAGGGGCTATTTGATGTATTTTACGAAGTAGGAGTTGTTTATCTGATTATAGATGTGTGTTCCTTTTATCGGTCTCTTACGTTGATTCAAATACCGACCTAATGAGCTAATGGTGTGTTTGATTTGAAAAAATTTGAAATTGAATTTCATTTTAATTACGTGTCTGGTTTGCGAGAGTCTTGAGGCCATAAGAAGGACAAAAAAAGGTATTTATGCTTGCAATATATCTTCATTTACTACCAAATCATATATTTTTAAAGCCAGGTTTTCATTAATTCAAATAAATTCAAAATCCTACACAATTAAAACATTTGTTTACCATTTATTTAAACTCTTTTAGAAATCGAATTTGTAGGTTTTATAAAAAAAAACTCTTCCAGTTTTGAAATTATCCGTTGTAAGTATTTACCGTCAACAATATTTAGAGTAAATTATGGATTTGGTCCCTGTGGTTTGATGGTTTTTACAAAAATGGTACATGAACTTTCATTTATAACAGATTAGAACTCGTGGTATCTCGTTTAATAACAAATTGGTCATTCCCTCTAACAGCCATCCAGTTCCTCCATTAACTTCGAGGACATTTTCGTTATTTTCCTTTTTTGTCTTTACTCGAGGAACCCATTCATAAAAACCACACAAACTATAGGAACCAAATCCGTAATTAAGTCTAAAATTAAAATAAAAATATATTTTATATTTTAAGTTTATTAAATTAATTAATTATTATCCTTTATGTTTAATTTTAATACATAATATATTTTTTCAAAAAAAAAATTAATATGTATATATACATAGTGAGATTCAATTGTTTAAAGGAAAGCCGTCTCCAAACCATTAAATGTTAGATTATTTGGTTCAGCGAATATGACTAAATTGACGTTAAACAATATTTTTTAAATTTAAAAACCTCAACACCCGTAATTTTATCGGAAAAAGACGAAATATAAACAAAATCGAGCGGAATAAATTACACCTCGTTGTTTTTCACCAATAAAAATCATTTATATTATATAGTTTGTGTGGTTTTTAGAAAAAATAAATAATATTATATTAAGAACTCATAAATCATTCTTTTTATGAGTATTCATGATAAATGACATGATAAAATATTCATGATGAATGATGTGCCTTTAATTCATGATAAATAATATCCATCATAAATGCTCACAAAATAACTCTCTTGCCCCAACTCCTCCACTTGACGTTGGGTCTCCTCATTTTCAAATGAGATTTTTGGATTCTTAAAATATTTAAGATTCCTAACTGAACTCTTTTTTAATAATACCAGAAAAGTACTCGCACAATGCAGCAAGATATATTTCGACTTTAATGTTTCGTTTTAATTTTTTAGTCTCTGTCGACATTATAATATGAATTTATGTGGTTTTGAGCAAAAAATAATGTTTTTTAATATAAATTTGAATATATCATAAAAATTAAAAATATATATATAAGTTCTTATTTTTTGGGGTAATTTATTTAATTCAATTTTTTTATTATAATTTAATTCAAGTTTAATGACGAATTAATTTGTTTTTGATTTAATAATATAATTTTTATAAAAATAATAACTAATTATATGTCAAAACCCAATAGCTATCCTAATTATATTTTAGATATATTTAAAACGAGAATTTTATCCTGTATTTGATCATATTTATCTATAATTAGTTACACGAATTCAAATATGGAGCTTAATAAGTTATATGCACAATTTACTTGTAATATTAAATTTTAAGTAATATGCTATCAATAATCGATACTTCATGTATAAAAGATGGTTTTTAAGAGTTTTTGTCAAATGTTTTATAATATAATATAAATAACTAATGTTGTAATCTCTAAAATAGAAACACCAAAAAAGCCAATTTGACCTCAGTTCGAAATGAAAGAGAAAAATGCATGTGAATCCTCCTACCGGAGAGACTTCCTAGATGCCATTTTACCATTCTTAAGAAGGGTGGAAGTTGTGAACTCAACGTCGTCCTTGATGAAACTCCACCAGGTATAAGTTAGAGGTATCGTTATGGCATGCGAAGCCGTGTGTGCGTCTAGAAACCCTTCGTATGAAGGGAAATCATAGATCTCTAGCAGCATAACAGCCGCACCTGCCACGACCACGAGCCACAGTTTTTGGCGAGACGGATGGCAGCTGGTTCCGGCCCATATTGCCCAGATGAGAAGTTGTGCAGCAGCCATCACGACACACACTTTCATGTTCATACCTACCAATTTCAATAAATTAAATAGCAATGGCATGACGTAGACCAAACTAAACACATCCAATATGTCTCGGAATCAAGGTTATAAATGGTGTGACGACGATGTCAAGCATCAAGCCTTACATGCCACAGCGAGCAGCGTTTTTCAACGTGGCAAAGTTACTTATCTCATACACACACACACGTGTTTTCTATTTATTAGACTTCGTTTTAACCGTGCGCTTGTGATGTATGTGAATCCATAAAACTGTGGATGATGTGAGTAGGTAAATCTATAAAAGTGTAAAATCTAAAGTTAAAAATGTAAATTTTTTGAAACAAAATCATGCCTTGTAAAAAACGCATGTAGCGTCGTACTATGTTGCGCCTTAAAACGTCATGGCGTGAGCCACGTCTTACACAAATGTTATAGGCCTTGTTGTATCTGTGCACGTGCCCTACACCATGGCACACCTTTTAGAACCTGCTACAGAGTAGAGGTCTTAGACGACGTACACAAACCTGCCATCTACCCAGAAAATAGTGGTTGTTTTCAGAAAAAAAAAGTTTTTGCAAAGAGATTTTGAAGAAAGACCAAGTGCTTCAAAAGTTGGTCAAAAAAGGTTTGGAAGACATTGAAGCAAGGTCATGGCATGGTAAGGTTTGGGTTCAAAAGTAGAGGTCTCATTTGACTATTTAAGCCCAGGTTGAGCCTGGTATGGTTTCGGCTCGGCAACTTGGCAAGGCTAATGAACCAAAAATATACAAGCTTATACGTTTCCATTTGGTGTATATTTTTTAGCCCACCGGTCTTAGCGATTTTTTTAGTTGGTTTTCCATTAAGCTTTGCATAGATAAAGTTATTACTGTACATTTAAATTGTCTGTATAGACTAAAGATTGTAAAGTTTTGTTTGGAAGAGTTTTCTAATAGATGGAAGAGGAGTGTTTTCTAATTGGGAGGGGAAAATTTGTAAAAGACTTGTCTTTCTGCATAAAGCTTCTCCTAAAGATTACTGAATAAGTAATTTTCTATATCATTAAGCCACTCTCAAACAGTCACGTATAACTGACCGCATAAGCTGTAAATCTCATTAAACAAGCATGCATTAGGGACTTCTAATTGTAATTTTTTAAAGAGAATTTACTGGTAATTATATTTGAAGTTTAATTCGATATGAGCAAGCTTCTACAAGTCTAGATGAACCATAAAAGCTGAAACTATATGAGCCAGGAACCTATCCTATTCAAGCCAAGTCCAAGCCTACGTTTTTCTAGCTCAGCAAGCCATGAGCTGAACTTTGACTTAAAGGAAAGCTCTGGTTCAGCTTGGCTCAAATATACCCCTAGGTCATACAACTCACTGAGTTGCTGTGTGTGTGTTTTGGGGGGGGGGTATGCATCTCAGATTTATAGGAGTTTAGGAAGATACCATAATCCATTTGATAGTTGTTGAGGTACAAAATGTGGACGGTGACAAATGCAAGCAATGGAGCAGAAACCATGACTCTTGCAGCCTCAAGCTTCACATTGAAACATCTTAAGATGGCCAGGATGAGCGAGTATCCAACCAACACGATACCAGAGAAGTAGTGTAGCTTTCCCGTGAACTCCACATCCCTGTATATATGAAATATAGAGAGTTTTCATCATGTAAAAGAAAAACTAGACTTGCATTAAGTAACATAACATGAAACTCTGAATTTGAAGAGCAAACCGGTTAAAACCAAACAAACTCATTAATTCCCCGCCCGACTAATCCCCCACGGGAACGGGTTCGGGGTACTCATCGGATACCCGTGTAAAAGACGATAAAAACAATATATTAAAAATTAAAAATCGTGAGTATATTAATTACAAATATTGAAAATCAAATGTATTTATTATTTAATAAAAAATGTATATGTATACATATATTAAATAAAATAAAAATTTTAATCAGGTCAGATTATGGGGGGAAGGGGTAATGCCATCCCCGACCCCACTTCGGGTATGAAAATAAGTCTCCGTCCCCGACTCATTACCCGCAAAAGTGGGGGGATAAAATTTTCATCTCTATTTGGGAGGGTAGGATGTACACAAAGTTGCCTTTACCTCGAGGGATAGAGGGACTGTTTTTGTGAAGATCCTTGGCTTGAAGAATCAAGCCAGTTGCACCTTATGTTATTGACAAAAACAAAAACCAAACCGAACAATACCCAGTATATCCCATTCGAAAGTATGATCAGGAGGTAGGATGTATACGTGCCTTAGCTCATACTCAAAAGGGACTAAAGAAGTTGTTTTCATGATAACCTTATGTTATAAACAGAAGCCGCTAAAAGGTACAGCTAGTACACTTAGAATATGGTCACAAAAGCAAGTTTGCTTAGATCATTAAGCTAATCAGTTCATAAAGCTAGCTATAAAATAATAACAAAAAAAAATGCATTTTAAGATTAACTTACAACTTTGGACTGGAGACAAGTTGAACAATATGAAACCATAATCTAGAATCGGCAAGAAAGTGTATGCTAAAACCATGCAAGAACCAGGTTGCACATTTATTCAGACCCCAGAACAGTATATACTTGTATTCTGTGCACTTGTTAAATGGTTTTCTTGTAAGTTGTACCCTAAAAGTTCCCTCCACCAGAAACCAGTCTCTAACTCCCATTATCGCATGAGCGGGAAAACAGATAGTATGCCCCATTCAGGGTTGTTCCAATCTTTTTGGAGACCCTGTTACACTTGTACCAAGACTAAAGATCATCTAGACGAGTAATAAATAAAACAAAATATAAAAGTTCAAACCATATATTTTGTTACAAGTCTTACAAATTTAAAACAACAAAAATGACGGTAACATATAAATAGAATCATTCTTATATTCTTTGAAACCCAGGATTGAGAATCACCAAATTGGCTAAAAGAGTAAAGGCCTAAAATATAATAATTGGTCTAAAACATTGTAATTGGGCTAAAGATTGATTCATATATAATTGAGTAAAAAACATGCATGATTGGATCTCCGAATGCCTCCGGTCTACAACCTCAAACACTTTAAATTGCACATGGAATCATCTGGGACAGACCAAAAATCATTTGGATAAATGACGTTCTATAAAAGGAAGGTAACTTAAAGTAGTTAAGAAGGTAACTTTCTTTATTAGACTCTTCAACCCATGTGGTCACTTTTAAGCCATATCTATACATGAAGACAAGTTATATAAAGCTTTATTAGATTATCTCCTATGTTATATGAAAGAAAAAATCGATTTAGAAACAGTGCAGTTTCATACTGGAACCATGCAGGCACATAACAGATCAATAAGAAGCTTATCAGGAGAATATCTGGTGTTCAAGATGATGCTTTATATAACTTTTTTTGGTTAATCAGCTTTAACAATTTCAGCTACTGAATGGGAGGAAGAAATCTTGAACCACAGGAAGCAGTGGTTTGCCAACTATTGATTTTGCAATCAGGCGTGGGCAAAGCTTCCATAATAGGGTAAGGAAACGAATAGGTTAATCATATCAAAAGCTCTATTATTTCTACAGCATGTGCTTTCCCGTAAGGCAGTAAAGGGTTGTTTGGTTGGTTTTCCATTATGTCATGTATAGATAAAGTTGTCTGTGTGCATTAATCTGTCGGATTAGATTAGGGAAGTTTTTGTTTGGAAGTGTTTTGTCATAGGTAGAAAGAGCATGTTTTTAATTGGGATGGACAGGTTTGGAAAAAACTTGGCATTTTGCATAAAGCTTCCTCCTAGAAGCTTACTGAATAAGCTACTTTCTATATCATTAAGCTACTACCAAACAGTTATTTATAGCTGACCGAACAAGCTACAAGTCCCATTAAGCTCATAAAGTTGCCAATAAACAGGCCCTAAGATTACATTCATCAACATATGCATTGCTTGAAGATTTTCATTCTGACCCACATAGCGAACCATGGGAAAGTCTATTGTCCACAACACAACTCACCGCTTCAACTCTACAAGAGTGCACCTACTAACCTCTACAAGGCATTCCTCTCAAGCCAAAGTCACAACTTTCCAACGTTCGCCTATTAGAAGCTTGTGACCGGTCCCTTAAACTAAACATTTGAATACTGTTGCAATACATGTTTGAACAATCGAAGAAAATTGATTTGAGCGATTGTACTTGTTACAAAGTAAATATAAATGCACTGCAGAAAGGGAAGTCACAAAAACTCACCTACTGTGGAAAACAGTACCCCAGAACCATGAATTCAATGCTAAGAGCCCGTAAAGATGGAATAGACCAGCATAATCATAGTATGGCTTTTTATCTAATCCCGTGGGGAGCTTGTAGTATAAAAGAATGAAGAAAGATAGCCAACCATGAAAATGCATTGCCAGGTTGAGTGCAGAAAAGGCTACAGAAGCAGGTTGCTGAACAAATACAATATAATACTAAAAGTCAGTACTAAAATATTGAAAACAATTAGATTATTATATACTTTGAGCTCCATCATAATTGGACGTATGAGGTACAATGTTTTCAATTACAAACCTGGATCCCAAATACTCGCTTGAAAGGCCATTTACTATGATACTTGACAATCCCATGACCAAATGATGATCTAACTCTGTCACTATTGAGCATACAATAGTATCGGCAATCGCTTTGGCAGTCCCATTGTTTCCACCGCATATACGAAGGTTCTTGCGTGTACCATGGAAAATCAAGTGATGCACCATCAGATGAGAACGTGCAGTGTGGAAAGCATCTTTTGCCAACACATCCTGACTTCTCACATTCTCCTAGACAATTCCTAGACTCATGCGTATAACAATGTATAAATTTATCTATCCCAAGTAATGGAAAAATAACCTACATCACCCATAACTTCTATGATAATTTGGATATCGAACATACTTTTATTCTTGTCTTGAGAGGATATTGAAGAAAAAATAGTAAGAACATATAACAACTCAATCAGAAACTCCATTTCCACAGCAGTGAAAGACAGTGAATCAGTGATTGATTACATAGGCAAGAATACAATTGAACAAAAAACTACATACGTACTTATATGATGGGTCAGCATCCCCTAAACTTGCATGACGAGCTCCAAATAAACAAGAAAGTGCCAAAAAGAAACTGATCCAATAACAATGTAACATCTGCTCATAAATTTTTATCACTGCTCAAAGACACAAGAAATTATATCCATGTCAATGAGTTTTAAAGAGACTAAGAACCAAAAAAGAAGTGATTTAATATGAAGACAATGCAAATATCCCATCCGGTGCAAGTCGGTTAACCTTTTATGTCTCTCCCTCTCTCGCATCTTCACCCTGCAAAGTGGAGCCATACTAGGACATCATGCCCATCGGTGAAGTGAGAATTTCCTGTGTTTTAAGACTTACCATGTTTCAATTAAAATAGTTAAGATTGTATGCTTCTTCATGATTGGACCTTCTCAATTTGTGGCATAAGGTATGTTCTTGCCATCTATGGGTGGTTGGTTGATTTCTTCTATAATAAAACACATGTGCCACACCACCATTTGGCTTCAGAAAATTATCTACTAGTTGTATAATAGTGCAAGTTACCTATCATTTGCATATGTTTGATTGTGTGTCATATTATATTTGTATTTGGTCATAAATCCTTTCGCACACTTAGAAGTCCAGGATTCATAGAGATTTCGATCTTCTTCGCAAAGTTATATACAAACAATCATATTGAATCGTTAGCCTTTTTGTTCTCTATTTTATGCACGAGTCATTCAGTTTACACACCATATCTAATTGTCTGCATAAATGAACAGATGAAACCTCGTTGTTTCACTTCACTGATGTCTTATCTCCTGAAAGTGAATCAGAATATCCTGCAAACAACACGATAGCAAAATCAATCAGACTCACACTCAGCAATCGTAAAATCAACTTCCTCGAACTTCGTTTGAACTTACCAAAACTTAATGACAAGCTTATATTTCGTCCAGAAAAGACGACATTTAAAAAGCTTCCTCGAATTCAAAATTCAATCGAACAGTAATACACGCAATACCTAGTTTGGATCATACAAACAACTGCAATAAATACTAGCTATTGATGCTTATGATTGAAGTTCAACAAAGTGATTATATACAGAAAACATTGTACAAAAATCAAATTTCAAACCAAATTCAGTACTATGCACTAACAAATAACCAATTATGAAGATACAGCAACAGATTTTCTCTCGATAGCTTGAAATTTAGCATCAGAAACAATGAAATTACCAGATTTCCAAATGAAAATTGCGTCTGAAACAGAGTTCGCTTGCAAATTCGAAGGGTGCGAAGCAGGAGTCATCCAGGATTGTAGAGAATACGGTGATGGTTTTGAATTTAAATTTGCTGAATCTAATAACAAAGATAATTATCGATGATTAAATCTAAATTTAATTTAGGGAAAATTCTAAAAAAAACTCAAATGGATTTTAATGTTTGAGTTGGTTAATTTCTTAAAAAAAATTTGGAACAAATAAATTATTAGATATCCCAAAATTTGTTAAATAATTTCTCGGATTTTCTAAAACATGTTGGATAAATTCCTATGACCTACAAAAGTTGTTAATATAGTAAAATAATGGAAAAAATAAAGAGAAAAAAATCAATTGACTTTCATATTTTGAACGATTAATTTTCTAAATATTTTTTAAACTAAAAAAATTATTGGATCTATAAAATGAAACAAATATACCAAAAGATACTTATATTTATAAAAAAAAAATACTTATATTTAAAAAAATATTTATGAAAATTATTTTAATTAAA